GGGGGGGGGGGGGGGGGGGGGGGGGGGGGGGGGGGGGGGGGGGGGGGGGGGGGGGGGGGGGGGGGGGGGGGGGGGGGGGGGGGGGGGGGGGGCGTACTCTTATGTTTTGCATGTCTTAGCGGTTAGACCATTGACCACGCGTCCTCGAGAGGCCGGAGCACTGTTCCCACACACACATGAGTGTGGTTTTTAATGGGGTGGGGTTTTATAAAGCAGGCCTTTGTGTGTGACGAAACTGGAGGGCTGGGTGGGTCGCTGGATAGGATGAATAGGATAAGAGGTGAAACAATGACCCTCGGGGAAGTTGAGCCCTCTGGGAGAGGATGGATGCAATGGCCGTGTGCGCGCTACCATCACCGCGCAAAACGCGTGCACCAATATCTGACAAAACAAGGTGCAAAAACCAAAACAGCGAACAACGTATCAAGCCTCGAAAACACCACCGACACGTCTTTTCGGCGGTGGTGATTAAAAAGTAAGAAAAAACATAATACTTGGCAAAAAAAGCGAGAGCATGGCCGACCTTCAGGAAAGTGAAGTCCACCGGGGTGGGGTAGAGGAAGACCGTCGCCATGTCCAGCAGCATTGCCACCTGCCCAGGGTGCGCCCGGTAGCACTCCATCATGCACTTGATGATCAGCTTGCCCTCGTTTTCTTCACGGGAGGCGCTGCCGCTGGTTTTTAATGGATATAGTACGGCACAAGGCAATCAACAAATAACAGAAAACGAAACAGAGGGAATAAAAGCGGAAGAAGGGTAAGAGAGAACTGTCCGGACAAAGGAAGGCGACTGAGATAGAATCGGCAGACACGTGCGGGAAAAAAAAAAATCCGGTGGGATAGTGACGATTCGCTACGTGTGCATGTATCAACCTGCAAGGAAGGGTGCCGTCATGACTGCTGCCGTTGTTGCTGCTGCGACGGCATGGGATCATCGCGGTGCCCTTACGACACTGGAAACAACACGGTGAACGTTATTTGGCATTTCATTATTAAACCCGAGTCAAGTCAACTTTTCGCACTTCTATCGCTCACTTGGTCGTGCGCTGCTGCTGCTGTTGCTGCGACTTGGAAGTCACGGCCAGGTCCCTGCGGCGGCAAGCGTGCGCCCTCCACACCTCTCGCAGCGTCGCCACCACCCTTGTTTGTTTCTGAAGAACGACGGGCGAGGGTCACACAGGGGGAAGGAAAACACAACAGCTTTGCTGTATATAAGACTAGGTCAACGTATTTCGCGCTCGATAACTCTGGCAACGACAACGTTGGCGAAATGTTTGTTCACGGAAGAAGGGGGCCGACAGATCGAACTCTCACTCCCATGCAGGGTACCCTGGTCTTGCTACAGTCTCGGTCCGATGATGCTACGAACAAGCTATCCCAAAGCCAAAAACATGCTTGTGGTTTGGTCCAACATTGGGAAAAAGAAAAGATCGCCAAAAACTTCCCACAAAAAGCAACCAATCACCACTGACCTCTAGATACTTGGGCATGTGCTGGGCCAGCACGTACACCACCCGCAGACCCTGGTGCAGGCACTCCGCGGACTCGCGGCTGAGGGAGGTCGGGTACGCGCCGGGGGCAGGGATGAGGACGGTTTCGTCCCCCCCCAGGCGAAAGCCTCCGCCGGGAGCTTGCTGGACACCCGTAGCCTGCTGGGCGGCAATGCGCTTCTGCTGGGCGGCGATCGTGAGCTTCGTCTGCCTGGCCGCCTGGGGGAGGGGGGGGGGGGGTACTCATAGTCGTGCATGCCGTAGTCGTTAGACCATTGACCTCGCATCCCTACAAAGCCGGGACGGAGCA